TTTAATCTTGTTTAATCATTTTACTACGAGATAGAAAATTATGATGCAGTAGGTCGGTTTTTATAAATACATAATTTGGCAAAAGTTTGAAGACCGTAAGGATCGGGTTATGTAGTACAGTGATGGACAGATAACATTGATTGGGGATAATTTACTGTTATTGACCAAGAACAATGTCTGTTGTTTGGTTCTTAAAAGGATTCACAAACTTAACCATTTAAACAACTACTTAATGTGTTCTAAGGTTCATACCTCCTGATTTAGTGTCAAGATCTGACAATGTAATAGCTCTAGTTAATTTCTTAGTCTTTATCTCTTTTCAAAATTCAGGGACAGCAGTTGTAAGTAGGGGTTATTTATACTTGGTGGTCACAAAAAACAATTCTAAGGTCTGTAACTCTTGTAAATATGTTCACTATTTGTGAAAAGTTCTTTGCGTGGAGAATGTAAACCTTAAATGATGTTACACACAGTTTGTAAAAGTTTTTAAGCATTTATATGCACATTATAAAAATGTGGTTTTATACTACATTCAATGAAGATTAATATTTTACCGCACAAACACGAAACTTTCCAAATGAACATATTAGCAGATTATTAATTTAGTTTCGGGCAATTTTCTAAGTATCATTAGTAAGCTTTGTAAGTGAATTTTCAAAGGAAATATTCCTTAATTCTCTACTGTGTGAATATTTTCCTGCACAGCTCCCCAAAGACTAAAGATTTAGATCATGACAATTTCTTTTTAAACGGTTCAGGGCTGGCCTGGTCCCTGTGTTAAGTGAAGGGTTACAATGTTGATTCTGGTCTGGAGTGTATTATACAACAACCCTTATGATATTTGTTTTGTCAAGATAATATTATGGCACAATTTGGGAGAGAAATTTAAACTGCAAAAAGAGGACAGTATATCTGTCTGGGTAAGTTAGCTGGCAGCATGCAGGCCGGGTTTTGGAATTTGGACCCCCCTTTATCAATTCGAAATTTCTCTAAACCATATACATGTCAAAGAGAACATTTTTAAGTTCTTTACCTATCTAATGAATTGCCCACATTTTAGATTTAAGCAAACAAGATTTTGGCTCAAGTTGTATTGAAGTATTAGGTAAGTGAATTATTTGAATTTCTTCTCAGCAGTTAAATTTAGAAATGATAACACGTTTTAAATGTTTATGTATTTACCCGACAAATAAATGATAATTCATTTTGAATTTGATTCATTTAAATGAATTTCTTTATCACTGCATCACATGGTTTAATTTTTTTTCCATGAAGATTTTGACATTCATGTTTATTGATGTAAATTTTATTGGCGACAGCACAAGTTTTAGATATACCATATTTCCAAAGGATTTTTCTGAAAAGTTCTTATGCTGAATTTAAATGGATGGATTTTTTTTCCTTTTTAGAAAGGGATAAAAGATTGTTTGTTTAGCAAACACTATCCAGATACCGGAAATTGTTGAATCCAAGTTTCTCAGTCATTTGAATTTTTTCAGACCTTTCTTTGCAATCTGAAATATATGGCTTTCACAAGCAGGTGTGAATTGTGAGTTAAGATCTACACTTGGACTGAAAAGTTTGTACCTGACATGCGAATTTTTTTGCTTTTGATCAAGTTTCACTTAAAACCCGATTTTTTTGCTCGATAACAAGAGACCCGCTCTTGTGTGGACTTCTTTAAGCTGTTAGCTTTGTTGTAAATTTGTACAACACTATAGACATGCCAGGAGGTAAGGCTTCTATCTTTGTTTTATCACATTTCAGACTAGATATTTTTTTTTTTATTTCAAATGGATTTAAAAAGAAAAAATTAGGGTGCCCTATTTAATAAAGCTATTCAGTTGCAATGTCCATATTTCTTTTGTCATATACACTGAGTATTCATTGATGTGGAAAGAATGTCAACATAAATTTATTTAATGTCATATTAATGACTATAAATTTTAGGAGATACGAGATAAAATTCTTAATTTTTATATAACAAAATTTCAATATTTAGGATGAGTATGTAGATTCTTTCTGCTAGAGAAATTTTGCAAGTCACAGTCAAACAGAGAGCAACAGTTCTGCGTATGTACCTGTGTGTGGGATAGTGATTGTGGTCCTGTTTCCTCAGTAAATCCCCGCCCCAAGTTGACACTATCGGTGACTTCTGGATCCATCGCTATCATATTTTACACAAGCCTAGCAGATAATTACTGTAGTCTTTTGTTACTTAAGCACAATATCCTCTTTGATGACATTTAAAGTCACTTTTTATTGCCAAAACAAAGTGCTGAAACCCAGTCTTGGGGGGAGGTTTCACATGAGCCTGGCATTATTTGTCATACTTCCTGTACCAAGTAAGGTAAAGGTGCATAGTGGAACATTCTTTTTTGGTGGTTCTACGTAACCAAATTCCACTCAAATCTGAAAGTAAAAGTTCCTTTATATTAAACCTCTCCCCCTGCAAAATAGGAAGAAGGTTTGAACTTGTTGAATGAAAACTTGCAGTATATAGTAATTATATTCTGACTCAATTAATTGTTGGCGTTGTAAAAATTTAGTTCTTAATTATTTTAATATTCTACTTTTAAAAGATATCATGACAATTATATGAAATGAAATGTGAAAAACTATGAAGAATTGACTTCTTAGAGGTATAATTAAAAGTTTTATATATATATATATACATGTATATATATATATGTAGAGAGAGAGAGAGATTATGATGTACTTAATATAGTGGTCAATGGCTGTTTTCTGTAAAAGAATTTGAGTTTGGAGATGTACATTTCATGAAACATTATCACCCCAATGTTTAATTGTTAGCTGTGTTTAGGTTTTTTATCTTTGAATTAATTTACTCAGTGTATCAAAGCATTTCCTGGTGTTTACTTGTGAAGAAAATTAAAAACAATGTAACGTAGCATTGAACACATACATAAGACTTGTCATTACGCTAATGTCTTGTTTGAACATTACAACAAGACACACTTCAAAGACCAAGACATTAAACAGATTTGCTAATTAATATAATTCTCTTGGAAAATCATGCATAGTTAAAAAAATTGATTAGTTCTTTGCAGATTATATTTTATTCATATTTTTGTTTTTGATTTTCTTGGTTTTGAACATGTAATATGAATGATTTTACAGGGTCCTATATTATAATTATGCAAAAAATAGTCATTCTAGAATTTGTAAATTTATAAACTTTTCACTTTACATAGGTTTATTTAGTTTCATATGATACATCAATCATGAACTCAATAGTATAATTGTTAACTCCCTTAGTGATACACATGTATATTCAGACTATATACTATATAGGTAATGAATGTCCAATCAGTTTTCTATCAATATATTTCAGAATTTTAGACGTATAGAAACTGTTACTAATTTAATTGATGCATTTTTAACTTTTTACACGAAATGTAATAAGAAATACAGAATACTTCAATTTTTTCTTCAATTTATTTTTGGAAATTAATATGACTTCTGTTCATCAGAAATTTAATTTGTAAGTGTTAATGGACCAAAAATATTTGGATAATGAGCTATTTTTGATCTTCTTTCAACCTAATAATGTGGGCTTTTTTTTTTTTTACCTCATTGTCACTTTCTTTAAAATGAAATTTTAAAAACTGAATGTTGGCTAGCTGTCATAAATTACATTAAACTTAAATAAAATGTTTAATGTGAGTCACTGTGTGAATAGTTTTTGTTCAAAGCAGGATATTAACCCAATGGGTAGTTGTATAGTCATACAAAAATCTTAAGGCTTTTATAATTTGGTTCTTAATATATTCCAAATTAATAAAAATGGCAATTTGTTCATCCTTACTTGTGAATCGATCATTAATACGTTTTTTTTTAAGTATATAAATAGAATATGACTTATTCAGGAATAAAATTGAGTGATTGACTTTAAACATTCTGGCATGAAGGTACTATCCTCCACATACATTTCTTTGTTTGAAAAGTATTCACACAGCTTTGAAACCTGGGAAAGATCAAAGAAAATAGTAGGACATAAAGTTGTCTCCCTTGTCACATAGTCCAGATCTAATGGAATTACTAGTGTATATCTGAATCAGCTGATTGACGTGTCTTTTATTTAGCAATGTGTGTTGGGGCCCAAACACCTTGTAGACCTGTAGATGTTTAGTACAAGCACTATGCAATAGTTGTCAGGGTAAGAAATAGAGTTGTAAATCTGACAGGGATTTTGTGGCCGTGATTGAAACCCAGGTGTGCAGTAAGTCAATTCACCTGACAGTTCCTAATTATTTTACCTGTCAATCAGAACAGGTAATGTGACCCAAATGACCAATTTATGTCCACAGGTTACATGGTGGCAATTCATTGAAGGCTACTTGTCTTTAATTCATTGACGCATTTGGCTGAGGAGGAAATCAATTTGTAATCTTTGAAAAACGGCATTATCAATCCCGGGGACTCATTTTTCAGACTGATGTTATTTGTTGGATCAATTGTGTAATCATGGTGAGAACATTATTTTTTCTATTTGAAGAAAAAATTGGATTTTGGTCTTTTCCAGCATGGAAATTTAAGCAATGTGATATTTTAGTTCTTCTATTTATGAGTGAGTGAGTTATTTGGTCTAAATGGAGGTAATTGAGGAAAGAGCACATTTACAGGCATTGTACGTTAATGGGTGATAAGTCAAGAGTATTTGATTTCGGAACTTTGGAGTAAAGGGTACCGAGGATATATGTATGAACTGTGGCCTTACAGAGTAAATTTTCTGGTCTCGTAGTTTTAGATTAAGTCCTAGAAGTGTCATTAATCTTCTCCTATTTTGCATGTGTCTCCTTCACACATTCCTTACCTAATTACTACGGAAACGGGGAGGTGAACATTTAAAATTATCATACCACTGGGGAGGAATTTTATTTTCATGCACTCCGATTTCATGTAGGAGGTTTTTAGAAGTTTGTATTGTCATTGTAATTTCTGAACTTGAACTTATTTCAATAATTTATGCTTTGTAGAATTGGAGGAAAATCCTGAGTACCTCAAAATGATATCAGATGCTGGGAATACTGTCCAAAAGCGGTCCTCATCGGGATCTGACAAAAGTCGCAAAGGATCATCGTCAAGGTCTCCACAAGGATCGTACAGCAATCAGCAGGAGGATGAGGAATTCTTGAACAAAGTGTGCAAATTTGAGATGATCTCAAGAGGCAAGACCTCACCCACAGCAAAATCTCCTGTGAACAAAAGTTTCTCCCCAGATGGAACTTACAGATCTTATGGACAAGTGATCTCTGAACATAACCATGTAGGTCATATGGAACCACTGTCTCCAGTGGAAATGAATAGAGGACATGTGCCCTCACCACTAGAAGGTAAACAGTATGTGCCAAAATCAAGTTATCCATATGCAGGGGAAAAACTATTCACCAAAGAAACTGCTACCACTCGTGTGTCTGCAGACATTCTCATGAAAGCTGGAAATGTGCAAACAATGCAAACAACAGAAAGAGTGACAAGCACAGGGAGTTCTAGCTCTAGCTCGCTGACCAGTGTAAGTAGTGCAGGGGGAGGCACTCTCAGCTGGAACTCTGATTCGGGGAAATCCTCACCTAGAACGAGTTTTGTGACACTCTCTTCCCAGAATTCCACAGAACAAAAGAAACCCATTATAACTGTATTGTCCCCCAAAGTGTTCAACTCCAAAGTTTCTTTAGAGACTGATGCTGAGAAACTTGCAGAGAGTATAATGAATGGAGATCTGCTTGCAACAGCTTATGATAGTGCTGGAAGCAGTAACTCCTCAAGTAAGAGAAATACGTTTGAAGGAATGGACTTTGATTTTAATGAACTGACTGCCAGCCAGCAGGATTTGTCAATAAAACATCGTGAAATTGTGGCCGAACGTAAGAAAGAACAACAGGTAGAAAGGCAAGAGAAACAGAGACTGGAGGAGATTCTTAGTATGTGTGCAGAATACGACAAACAGATTTCAGAGGTTCATCTTAAAGTAAAGACAACAGTCAAACAACAGACCACAATTACTGCAGATACAAAAATTACTCCCAAAGTGCAACAATTTCTGGACAATAATATTCCAAAGTTTTCTGGTTCTCCCCATCAAAAGGAAGCTCCTCCTGTTCACACAAAACCCAAATCATCTCCAAAGACTCCAAAATCTGGGGATTCCTATGTTTTTGATGGTTTTCCAGTTGAAAGGGCGGAACAATATGATCTGCCTCAAAGATTTGTTTCTGACTCCACAAAGTGTGAGAGTCCACTGATTTCATACCAGGATGTCACACCCTCCAAAACACCAACACGGAACAAGATAGTGAGTCCTATCATAAAAACAGAAGGACATCATTCAAGGTCTGTGAAAGGACAGATTACAAGTACTCCAAAAACTGTCAACTTTAAAGATGAAAGTCCCAGAGAGTCAAAGGAAAGTCCTAGACAGTCCATAGAAAGTCCAAGGTATACTCGAGAGAGGAAAGACTCAGATTATGATAGTGCTGATATGATTATAGAACCTCCAAAATTGGTGAATGGAGATGTTCCTTCACTTCATGGAAAGAATACCCAAAGTGCAAAAAAACCTTTGGAACATCTCTCAGAAGTGTCTGGCAAACCTGCCTATAAAACAGAAAGTGAAAGTAAAAGTGGAAAAACAGGTGTCAATTTATCATTTAAACTAAAAGACGATGAATTTAACAATGAGAGTTTGGCATCACCTACACATAGACCAAATCATTTACCGAGTTTTCAGGATTTTAGTATTGAAGTTCATTCATTGGATAGAAAAGAAAAGTCTGAATTTAGAAGTTCCATGACAAAAATAAAAACCAATGGATCATTAACCATGATTTCATCTCCCAGCAACACACACAAAGAATTTGGCTTCCAGATGCAAAGAGCAAGTTCCAACTCTTCCAATTCTGAGGAAGAATCTGCAAGCAATTCAGAGGACACAGGTACAATCAAACGTCGACCAGGACAATTACAGGAGTTTCAAGTTCGCAGAAATGGTCCTGGGTCATCCAGTGAGGTCAAGGACAAAGACAACTTGAGCCCAGATGATCCTCCCACACCAAGTTTCCGTCCTGCAATGGGGAGCAGGAGTCCAAAACTCACACGTAAACTGATGCATGTTGAGGATTCTGGAGAGAAGGGTAACGAAAACACAAATTCATATCAGGTCCGAAGAGAGGAAGGAAGTGTCAAGGTTGTGAATATTGACATTGAGAGTAAAAGTCCCACTGCTGTGTCAAAGAGTAAAGAAGAACAAGATTCTATACATGTCAGCTGGCTGGAATCACAAAGGAGAAAAGTTGAAAATGGATTTTACAATGCTAAAGACTCAAATAAAAGTGATGCATTTTCATTACCTCAGAATGGTCTATCGGGAAAGTCATCAGATTCCAGCAGTGATACTAGTACCATTGTGTTGGATCAGAAAAAAGGAATTTATGAAAATATACCAGCTAGGTCACCGAAGCCTTTCCCGAATTTTAAAGTGGAATTGAAACATGGAATGAAATTGCAATCTTTTTTTGATGGTGATAGTTCAGTTGTGAATGGATTACCAAGATCAAGGAATTCCTCAGGTTCTGGAGGAGGGAGAAAGTCAGATGATGTGGAAAGTCTGGTGTCAAACAGCAGTGAGGGAGAGGTCAAAGGGTCAGTGAGAGGTCATCGAAGGTCAGGAGATTCATCTAGTCGAAGGAGCTCAGGACACCACAGGGTAAGTTGTTAATGCAAGGGGAATAACTCTTATTTGGGACTTATCAAAAGTATGTCTCAAATTAAGGTTTTTCGTAGAAAATTGTAGAAAGATGACAAATAGTTGCATTATATCTATGTGTCAGACCTAGCTTTTTGAAAATATACACGGTTGCCAGAGACATGTAAGATATTGGAGACAGAACAACACACCTGTAGAAGATTGACGACCTTGCACTGGCAAGTTTTTTTTCTGTGTCACATTAAACTTAAATGATAAGTCCGTTTAAATACCTACTGTGGAATGTCATTCTTCTTTCTCGGAATAATAAGTAGCTTGTTTGTAAATTTTCTGACCTGGAGTTCTCTTCATTATCATAACATGTACAGGAAAAAACTTGTGTCATATTTTGAAAGAATCGTAAAGTCATTCGTTTTTACCAACTAGGAGGCAGAAAAAAGTAGGAGGATGTTATAGTCCTTGTGGATTTTGGTGGTTTTATAAGTGCTTTGAATTTTTGGAAAGCTACCATAAACACAACAATAGATGACTGTGAAAACATGCGAAGTTTATTTACTCTTAGATGGAAGGGCTGATAGCTGATTTTTAGCCTTCTATGGAGAACATTTAAACTACAAAGGCGTTTTGAAGGATCCGCTATCATTTTGAGATTTTTTTAAATATCCGTTTAAAATTCTGATGAACTGATAGCTATAAGGATTGGGACTATGTTGAGGAGGTGATCATTTGTTATGTAACAAGCCTAGGTCTGTGTTCATGGATATATACAACATGCAGGTATATAACTGAGATTTTGCTTTTGATTATGGAATAATAGTGTCATACTGGAAAAAAATCATAAATCAGTTCATTGAAGTACAATATTTGAGGAAATAAATCGCTTTCCAGTTACAATTACTTATTTTTTTGGTAAACGATCTATGCTTTTTTAGGAAAAATGTATTTCCTTGTAGTTTCATTACCCATTGAGGTGTTATACATTAATTTCATATTTTTTGTCACAAAATGAGAATTTAAGTGTCCGTTGTCCTACCGGGCCATCATCTTCTCATGGTAATATTTCCTGTGTTATCAAATTTTATTTTAATTACAGTCCTAAGTCATATGAAGAAATTGCAGTCCTGGATATATTATACATTGTAGTTCTATTGTCAAGCATATTGTGAGCATTATAATTCCCTAGTTGGTGACTGATTTATATTTATAAGCTAGACTATATTTGGATTATATCTGCATAGACAATCTAAGTCAGTGATTACAGGTATTTATCTAAGGGTCCACCCTGTCTCAGGTAGCAGACTGGTTCAGGTAAGAGATTTATAGATTCAGGTGATTATTCCTGACTGACCTCAGGTGCCATGTATAGGTATACATTTACACCATTTTCATTTATCTTCTCTTTTTTGGTTTCAGTTTCTTTCTTCATAACTGGAGGGCAATTATAATGCCTAACAATGTGATCAATTTTTCAGTGTCTTTTAATACCATGCAAAAGTGTGGGTGGGAACACAAATGAATGACAAATTTCCTGAGGTGTTGAATATCTAGGTCTAATAGATTTACTTTTCTTCAACAAGATTCACTCAATAAACTGAACCTGAAGTCAGCTTTAAAAATACACCTGTAAGAATTTTACAGGTGTGCCATTTGGAGATACAACCAAGTTATCAGAATTGTAGAGCTAAAAAAAATTACGTTTGTAAATTCCATTAGTTATGGAATGACACCTATAAGATGGGATAGGGGGTTTATCATGACATGCTGTATGTTAGGACAGGTAAAGTGATAAAGAGTCAAGGTGAGTGGTGATAATTATAGTCTGTGGACAGAATCAGAGGTGAAACCTGTAAAATTCTCACTGATTCGGAATCAACACTACAGATAAAGACATCAATTTTACATGGTTGTCAAGCCGTAGACTCGTTTTATAAACATTATGCTGTATTCCTTCCTTTGTAACATTCCTCTTTTCTTGGAGAAAGGTAATGTTACTTTTGAGCATATTTCTGGTGGACTCCAACATGCTTTTCCTTTCTTTTGTGAAAATAATTATGGCTATAAATGTGCAGTATATCCAAAATCCAGATGGGGGTGGGGGGTGTTCTGGGTTGGGGAGATCTAGTGTAGTCTATAAGAATCTACACATCTTTGCGATACTCTATCAAAGATCAGTTGTCTTGTCTCAGACAGGTGCCCCCACATTATTGATAGGTCTATATCCTAAAGTCAAGTTCTTCATAGTTTAGTATGATTAGCAGAGACAGCCACTGTAATAGTAGAGAGATGGCAGAATTCTTCCTAATGCGCATTCTGTCTTTTCTTCAGGATTCGGAATCTTACCAGCAGCTGGATCGTATGAAGAAGGACAAAGTGGAACTGGTATCTAAAATCACCTTCCTCAAGCAACAGATAGAAGAAATCGAAAAACTGGAGAATGAAGCCATCCGAGAGGTATAAAATAGGGTTAGGGGGACATTCTAGTGCGTAAGTGTACATGATACAATGTACTGTGATATATATCTGACTTTATCAGTGCAAATGGTCCACAACTGAACATATAATCATTTATGAAAATTATTACGATTCAATCAAATACTAGGAATTTATAAAAGTTTTGAATTTACTTATAATCCCATGTATATATCTTGTCTTCTAGACTTCAAATCTAATGAACTAAAAAATGATTTGATTTAATTTGAGTCTGAAAATTTGAACTTAAAAAACATAATGTAGTACGTATCAGTCAGTATCACTGTACAGTCAAACCTCAATATCTCGAATCTGTGATATTTCTCAGTTTTCTTGGCTCCTTCGAGTTCAAGATGAGGTTTGACTGTTGTATGCATCATTGGAATTATTGTATCTGTGTATTATCACATGATACCTGATCTTACTAGCCCTAGTATATAATAACTTTAAGGTATCTATTCTAAAATTTCCCACTATTGTGTTTTATGTCAAATTTTAATTAGCCTTTAGGATGATTGTCAGTACATTACAAGTGATGTACAAACCGATTTGTTCAACTTACGGATGTTCTGTCCAAGCGAGGTTGTATCTGACCTTGACATATATTGCTTCAGTGAGAGTCATTCAGGACAGCCTTTAGGTCCTATTTTCACATGTATTATATGAATTGAAATTGAAATGTTCATTTATTTAGCACATTATTCTTTGACAGCTGGAAATGGAGAAAGCTCTGTTGGATGGAGAGAAGGAGACAGAGATGGAGGAACTGCAGAGAGACCAGGAGCGGATCAATGTTCTAAAGGAGCGGCACCGAGAAGTGGTGGAGAGGGCCGCTAGGGAGAGGCAAAAGGTAGAGAAAGAGGGGAACTCCAGAGGGGCCCTGTAGAGGGTTCTCTTATTGGGCTATAATTGAAAATTGCTTCTATAGGATATTAATATCACACAGACATTAGATTAACTATCAGTACATACCTTAGAACAAACAAACTTATTATCTGCACTAGATCAGAGGTGTATCTTTTATAATGGGTATTATTGCAGACCTAATACAGTGTAATAATATTAATTTCAGTCATTGATGATATTGCTGTAAAAGTTTAATCATGATAAATTCAATGTGGTTAACAAATGTAAATTTATGATATTCAGCAGCGAATTAGAACTTCCAGCAGATTACGTAAAGTAAGATTTTGCTGTCGTTGAGTGGAATTTTTTTAGATTCTATTGCAAACACAGCTTAAATGGGGAAAAAAATCCTGCCCGCTCAAAGAAAGGACAAAAAAGAAAATGCAAAATTTTGCTTTGCCTAAATCTTAAGTTTTGCCACTGTATATCTGGACTTTATTGCAATGTTTTTTCTTCATCTTCTTATTCATTTTATTATATTTTTTTAAATTTTGCTTTCATCAGCAACCATTAGTAGACTTTGCTTACTATCTTTCTAATTCTTTCTAGGCCAGGTTTTGGGTGCGTATTTAAAGTGTCTAGTATTGTCTAAGAATTAGCATTAAAACAGTAGGATCTTAGCACGCCCACTTCTATGGACTTGTACTGTTATGTCACAGTCTGTGGTTTGTGATCAGAATGCTGATTGGTTGGTATGACATGTCATTGACATATCTGAAGAGTTTAATATGAAAGCATGCTGAAGTGACTATATCCTGAAATAGGAGTGATACCTTTATAATGTATATTATTCAGGAATGTGTGGAATATGGAATTGTATCTAAAGAAAAAAGAACTAACTGTTATTAATTAACAGTTGTTTGTCTTTGGTAGATTTGATATATATATCTTGTTTACAAAATAGTTTTCCCTGTTTCAATGATTAAACTTTCTTGTATTACTCCTGACCTGAATATATTTCTAAAAGTGACTCTCAATTTGAAGTCTACTCAGTGGGTAGATAATATATTATACAGAATAGAAAGGAATGTTGCATGTCCCTTGTAATGAACAGCTAACAAGGTATTGACGTCATACTGGTATAATTACATAGTTGTGATGTTGAAAATCCTATCTAAAATTTTGAAGAAAAAAAATTTCCAATACCTGTAATGTGTAGAGTGAGTTCCCATTTAGTAGTCTATTAAACCTTTTGTTGCATGTTAGCATATATATTTTCCTTGTTCTGAATTAAGCTCCTCAGTTCATAATGATTTAACAAGGAACCTCCTCTGTATAGTGGAAGGAAGTATAACTGCAAGTTAATAAGTATGATCTAGGCATGTACAAACTGCATATGCTGTGATGGGGAATGAATTTCAGTCTGTATAAATACAGAGAAGCAAGCAACATATGAGCAGTAAATTGGCTTTGATGCTAATCATCTTCCTTTAGTTCATTTAGAACTTTCCTAAACTCGAGAGCCATTGTAAACTGCATACATGAGTGGAAAACTTTTTGATATCCTGCCTTTGTTTTCAAGCATAATTATATAATTGTCTGATGATTCTATGCTGCTTTATATTCTTTTGTTTGTGTTGATAAGAATACTTCATTAATAATGTGCTGTTTAAAAGATGACGTATCTAAAATTTAGTTTTGCACGACCTTTGGCTATTTAAAATGTGATCATCTCTACGGAAATGATTTTTGTCTGAAGTTTAAAGTCAAATATGATCAAAAAAATTTTAATGACACTAGAGAAGAATTATGTAAACATGAAATTTCGAGTAGGGTACAATATGTAGAGAGTTGTTTGAAATTTTTAATTTTGTGGATTTTGCCAGGAACTGCAGCAAATGGAGAAACAGAAAGAGTTAATACAAAAGCTGGAGGAGGAGCAACAGGAAACGGAGCAGAGGCTGGAGGCATGCTCCAAGGACGAGGAAGAGGAACTACTGGAGAAGCATCAACAGCAGACAGACAGCATAGAGCATAGACAGAAGATTTTTGATGATCTAGAATTCAAACAACTTGAGGTCAAAATCTTTTACTGCATGTATATAGAGTTAATTCTCACCCCATGGCAATTAATTTTTGCCCCATATCAGTTCCATTAACTTAGCCTTTTTTATGCTCTGTTCACAAGGAAAGCTTAATTTAAATAAAACATAAGTTACTGTGAATTAAATTTGAACTGTGTTCACATGGAGAATTTAATGCATTTTAGTTTAAGTCAAATTAATTTACTGTGCATCAAATTGCTTCGCATTAACTCCATGTGAATGCTAAGCGAAACTAATTCAAATTCAATTTTGACGCATACATAATAGCAAAATTAAGCCACATGCCACATGTTGGTGGTCAGGTATAAGTACTAATGCTATTTTTAAGTGAAAAGCAAAGGAAAATATAGTTTATCACAAAAAAATGTGTACATGTAGACACTATGACATTACATGTCAAATCCATATCTACTCTTAGACTACATGAGGTGACATGATTTGCAAATGATGTCATGATAGCCTTTAATTATTGTAGTGCTACTGATGAAGGGAACAAAATGGGCAAAAATACATGTAAAACAGGGGCAAAAATTTCCCTATATGCAGTATATATATATGTTTTTTCCCATATGCTTTTATGTATAACATTATCAAAAACTCGAATGAATATTAAAATTTGTTATTGGTATAACTTTCAATTCTCTTGAGATTTTTTTTTTCAAAAATTATTGCAGTATATCTATATTCTATCTGTATAGTAAATATATTTTTGTTTTTTCTTTCAATAAATCATTCAAATTAAATTTATTTATACACTTTACAGTCTGAGGCAAAATACGAAGAAGAAAAGGAGCAAATACAGAGAAAACTGATGAAAGAGCAGCAAGATTTACTGGAGAAATACAGGTCAAGGGAGGTAAGCCAGCAGTGGAGAAGACACTAGAGGAAATTACTATGGTGGTGTTATTCAACCTTGACTTTATTTTAGAAAAAATACCATTAATTATCCGGACCAATTACTGCTTCATTAGCATGTCATTTTGTTTAATAGCAATGTAACATTAGTGTTGTAATTTTAAGGATCGTTTAGTGGAAATAGATGGCCAACAAAAGGAAATGTTGACTGGAGTCAGAAAAGACATGCAATCCATGGAGCAAAAAAGGCAGCAATTGGTGGAAGAGTTCCGGAAGGTGGGCACTGATTGGTCAATTTAGTTCATTATCCCTCTGTGTTTTAATTTGTATTCTGTCTTATTTTATTTTCAGCTGCTAAAGCAAAACTGTTAACAGATTTTTTTTTCCTCTTCTCTGAAATGTTCTGCCATCCATTTCTATATCAATATCAAGAAAAATTAATTTCTAGTTCAACTCTCCAATTTGATTTGATCTGTTTTACTATTTAGTTGTGTAGGAAATCAGTTTTTTGTGCATGTTTTTTTTTTAGTTATTTTTGGGTGAGCAGTCTGCTTGCTTGATGAATTAGTCCTAGCATTAGAAATCGGAGTCTTGTTTTCAGGAAAAAGTAGAATTATCACATTTGGTGAAGAAAATTCAAGAAATTTCCAAAATGCTGGCTATTCCTGTTAGTGATGACAATAGAGACTCATTTCTAGCAGAATTACAGGTATCAAAGCACAGGAACACAGTGTTGACAACATATTTTTTAAACTCGCATACTGTAATTTAATATTTCCTGTAATTCAGTTTTTTATTATATTTCATGAAATGAGAACCTATAAGTGCTCAAAGCACATCAGTTCTACATACTTCATGCCCATAATTGCTGAAGAGTATATGAATGAATTATATTTATATATTTGGATAAATTACATTTAAGAGTGTTCAACACTCTTAACTATGGATTTTCTTTATGAAGAAGTAATACTTGCAGGAGGGAAAGCACTCATCCAGAGACAGTTACAATGAACCCATACAAGGTCAGGGAGATAAGGAGGGTTCAGTCCCCCTCCCCACATCAAGTCCAACAATGACCTGGATAGCATCCTCAGAGAAAGGTGAGCGCAAGAAATCAGCCACCATGTTGGAGATCGAGCGTAACCACTCACTGTTCCTCGAGCTTCAAGGCAAGTAGTGGTCTCTTCTGTACACTGAATTCATTGTATCCCCGATAGCTCGGGGCATAAATAGGCCAAGTAAAAAAATATTATAGATGAAAGAGGAAATGGGGGAAAAATGTATTGCTAAAAATATTGAAAAGTAATGAGAAATTTTAGTCTAATTTATATATTGACCTAATTATTTGCATTTGAGTGAAAAATGTTTTTTTATAATTCAGTGTACAGGTGGTCATTGGCACTGTTTTTGGTGTATAGAGATTTTGATTAATTCCAGCTGAAATGAGTATGGGAACCCGCTATTTAGTTTTTTGAGATAGAAATTACTTTTTGAATCCATAATTATTTTGATCAGTTGTTCCCATACTCGTTTATGTTTGAATTCAGTGTGGTTAGAATGTTGTGGACTCCATGAGATACTTTTGAAAAATATCCAAATTTAAAAAAAAAATCTAATTCCAAATTCATATCCACAACAATTCTATATTATAGTGTAGGAATTTGCAGTTTGTATAACTAGGTCTAACATTTGGTGTTGATTATGTTCATGTACCTTTTCTCTTTAATATTTTGGCTCACATAACATGCAGCTTTTGATTTTAACAAAGACAGGACTTATTTTCATGGTAATATATCAAAACACTGTTTCAGTTGTCCATTGAAACTTCACTTACTAAGCTTTGCTGTATATCTGCACGACCATTTCATTATTAGTATATACCTGTTGTGGGGATAATTTCTTTCCTTTTAAAAATTCCATTACACTTGCAAAAGTTATGCACTCAATACATGTTGTTGAGACTTATCGGAGTCATCTCCCTTTGCATGGACAAAACTTAAATGTGGTGGGGTGCACTTTAAGTAACACCTTTATTGATGATGAAAAAAACTGAAAAAAGTTCTTTACTCATGCAGATATATGTGTAAGCTAATGAATTCTACTGATATTTTCAAGTAGACTATTGTTGAAAAGTCTCTAAGTTTCTTCACATTTATGATATCAAAATCTTTTTGTCTATCCACTTAATAACAAATCTCTGACAGACTTCTGTAGTGGGTATACTAATCAAATGAAACTTATCTATTAATTACATACTGATAATTAACTAAATTCTTCATTTAATTCACTGTATAGAGCATGTGTGTTGTTAATTTTTACGCACTGTCTGTGAAATGATTTTCTGAAATAGCTCCTTTGATAGCATGAAATCTAAAGCAGTTTTCTTAAAATAACCTGAATGTTAATGAATATGATTGCTTATATCTTTTTTTCCTGTAAGTTGTTAAATAAATCTTCTTTACTATATGCATGTACATATTTCTTGCCCATGCCTCCTATTAATTGCTTTTTTAACTGTGAATTTGATAAATTGACTCCAGTAAAAAAAAGAATGATATATGTCTACAACACTGGTAATGTGTTTCCTAAAATAGGTGGTCATGTGATCGAGCAAGAGAAGAAGCGTATAGAGGAATTGAAGCGTAGGGCAGCAGATGAGGGCCGGGCTCAGTGGGAGGAGAGAAAACTTAGAGAGGCAAACTGTAAGAGCTTCAACTCACTCGAATCCGAGGATAGCAGTGTGGCCAGCAGCTGTGAGACTCCATCTGAGAAAGAAACAAGGTAAGATCAAAGGTCATGGGTCAAGGTCATGATTTCCAGTTAGTAAAATTTTTTGTCACCAAAAGGTCAAAGGTAACTTTTCAAAGACTGATCATCATTAAAGTATAGAAATTTAAAGCTGTGTGTGTTATTGGAGACACATATCATACTAGTACTGTAGTATTGTTATAGTACTACACTTAGTGGATGGTTAACTGAGTTGAAGACATTGTCTAACAGGATATTCCTAAAGTAACAAAGTAGACTACAGACTACAAATGACATCTCCCTGTCTTTGACCGATCAGTGGTGATGGAATAGGAAGTAGATACCTCATTATTATTTGTCTTTTGTCAGTTCAGAGGATGTAGACATTTATTTCGCATGACTTGCATCTGTCATTTGACTGTAGGATATGACAAAAATGAATGCTATCTTCCCCATAAGATGCTGAAGATCAATATGGGATGTACATGAGAGGCTTTATTTAGCTGTAGGTTTCAATTTAAAGACAATTTTAGCTGAGATTTATGACTTGAAGCTGTTGTCTAACGATTTAATTGTTTCACCAGGATATTGTCTGCTTGTAAGATGTGCCTGCCTGCAGATCGTGAATCAGGGTGTTGTCTTCTTAATTGAGCAAAGATAAAATTTTAGCTTTTTTTTAAGCGATGGAGAATGAAAGGTTAATTTGGACATTTTAGAATTTTTTTGCATCAAAAGGACATTTTTTTTTGTCGGAAGCCACTTGTGTGAAAAGATAATATTCAGAACTTTTCAGTTACAGTAATTTTGGTTCATTTTAGAAAGTATTGAGGAAAGATTACTCATTCAAATCAGAATTTGAGTCCTGGAAGATCTTTTTTATATTTAGGGTGTCCCTTCAGAGAACCCCTAAATCTTTATTTTTTTGTATATAGATTCTGAAACAGAAAAGGCTGTACCTAGTTGTTTACTAATATGAATTGTACTTTTTTATAATGACATTAGAAACAAAGTCTGACAGTTAATAGTTTAAGTAGCTATGTGAGCTTGGAATACTTGTCATACAATTTTTATCTATATTTTCATCAGTACAATTAAGATCTAAATTACAATTAAAAGTAGCTTGTCCTAATGGCTAAACGCAATTATATCCATCTCTGTATAAAATGCACTTCTGTTAGCTAAGAAAGATTTAATATCCACATATATGAGAATAATTTCCTGTCTAGCTGGCAGTCATGCATAATTCATAGACGCAAATCTGGACATGCTGTATTGCTTTAGATATTGTCAATGAGGGGAAAACCAGCCAGATTGATCACAGAGATGGGGAGATAGTAAGAATCAAGCATTACAGGGGAGTTGGACAATATATGTGTGAATAGGTGGATGAAATGTATAAGGCTTGTGTACCTACAGATATTGTTTAATTTATTTGATAGTAGTTAATAAGAAAGTTGTTTTAACACATTTAGCCAGACCCCCTGAAAAGTCCATTTTGCTATCCATGAGTTCTTTCTTACCCCCCCCCCCCCTTTTTTTTTGTTGTAAGATGTGAGCTTTGGAACCCTGTATTTGCAAAGATAAAACCAATTACTGTAAATTCATTTATTTTCACCAAGTCAAATTTTCACAGTTGGTTTTGGGGTTTTCATTTTGTGGTTGAAGAAGTACAGTGTGTATGCAATTTATTTTCCTAAGATTAAGAGTGGGAAAATAAGATCATCAAGGGTAAAGATTGTAAATGGAGTTTTATGAACAAATACCAAATTCAAGGTCAGTTTTAACTTCACTGAAATGACTTCATCATGTAAAATCATTTTGTAAAGAAACAGGTACATGTAAATTTCGAACAAAAAGTTCATATAAAAGAATTTTTTGACATTTAGCTGTCTTCATTAACATTCATATGTTGATTGAATTAACTCCATAGTGATGGCTATTTAGAGTCCGGATTCAATTATCAGGTTTTCCAATTTAGGTTTTGAGCTTTTGGCTATAATTAACCAAAGGTGATGGAGTTTTTACAGGCAAAAAGAGACCGTTTTTCCTCATACAATTGATAACACTGCCACATCAATACACTTCTCAATTTATCAGAGGAATAAAATGATTGGGGTTTCCTCATTATTATTCTTGCGTACAATACCAGATTATGGCTGGAGCAAGTCCTTGATACGTTCTGAATAAAGGTAATCTGTGTAATCTATCAGTTTCCATCAGTGTTTCATTGATTTGCAGACATCAGGTGACAGGAACATATAAAAGGATTTGTGATTGACACCACCAATGTTTTCTTTGGCTTTAATTTTATTTCAAATTTTTGGGTTTTTTTTCCTTCATTGTCTTAATACTTTCAAAATTTCGTATCTTGACAAAGTAGACTTAGGTTGATTTGTGGTGGTTTTTATTTTATTTTTTTCTTCTAAATTGCCATGATTTTATGTAAATGATATTGATCATTGATCACTTGTTGAAATTAAAAAAACATCACCATTTTGATAAATTTAGAATTTCAAAAGAGGCTGTCTGATCAGTTGTCATAGTGATCTGTAAAACCAAAGTATATTTTGCATGTTAAGCATTTCAATTACTGAAAGCTGTACATTTCTGCCAGTAATCTGACCGTTATGGTCTAGACAGACGAGGTACCATTCGCAATGTATTATCTAATTAATCTCAAGATATGCATACATTTATCCATAATTAATTGTTATATTACTCTAGAAGAATTACTGAATTCAAAACTTACAAACATTGAATTTTATGGAGAGAAAAATAGACAAGTTTTACCAAAAGTGAATGCATGGATAACGGTTTTCTCCCACTGAGGCATAGGTTAGTGTTAATTTGCAGTGGGAAAAAGATCTGTTACTGAGTAGTAAAAAGTGGAAAATGTTTGATGGTACGCACAGGACCATTGAAACTTGCTACAATGGATGAGAGTGGAAGACTGGTGAACTTCACGAGAGTCATGTTTCCTTGTTTTGTTTTTAATTATTGATGAAGGAATTGGATGAATTGGCAAGATAAAGATTGTAACTCACTAGGAGGCTATAGATTTCTGTACATGGAAAATGTTACTGCTCGATGGCGCATTATTTTTGCAGGAGCTCCATTGTTCCCTGCTGGCCTACGATTGGTCTTCTCTGTGCAGTATGTTTATTTAAAAACAAAAAGAGAGGAGGTAGTCATTGTACTTTTGACAATAAGTTCTGGATAATTTTTCTAATTTTGGCTGATATTTGTCCCACTCATTTTATATAATTTGGCAGCTGGTCAAGTTGTATTACTATAAGCTGCTTATCCTTTTACACTGGGTGGTACTTTTTCATAGCTAGTTAGTTGGACTATTGCTTGAAATAATGCTTTACCGTTTATACTCACCTATAAGTCCAATATTTAGGAGTTATATTTTAATCCTAAACTCTGTCCAATTTCTAGGCAAGTCCTAGAAACATTGGTATTTTTCTGGACAGCAAAATATATAGACAAGTGATATATCTCTCTAAAAGAAAAAATATGGACAAAATAAAAAGGGTACTTGTTTAATTTGTTGAGAATAAAAGGTTATAAATGTCAATATCCTATCCCAAATTATTATTTGAACACAGGTAAATAATGTACAGTAGATATTATTGATATGAAATTGATTTGTTGAGAATGAAAGATTAAGTATCGTTATCAGTTCCAAAAATATTTGAAATGCACGTAAAAGCATTGATCTTAAATTGTTAACTGATTCTGCCAAAAAGTTGTACAGACTTATAAGAGGGCCAGTGACAAATCTCTCCAAAATAGCTTTAAAAAATACAACTGACTTATAAGCAAACTGGCTTAGAGGTGAGTTTATACAGTGCTTTTTAGAGTGGAGTAGAACTTTATTATAAAATATTCTGACAACTTATTTATTCCAAGAAATTACCCACAAAGATAAATAAACTTATATCAATTAATCCAGATATAAAATTATTTTGATAAAGTTCAGCTAATCAACTTGGTTACTTATTTATTTGTCATATGTTGGTGGTATTATTTTCATTTGAAGTAATTGGATGAAAAATTAATGCATTGTCTTTGTAAATCTGACATAAAGTCCCAGTGCTAAATAAAGTTACAGTCTTTGAAATTTAGTATATGGAAGGATATCTGATTTCACTGTCCACTTTATTGATTCTAGTCTGGGTAAGGTAATATGTTGTGTGTTTCATTATAAGTTCCATTTTGTGCAGTAAAGTAAGATTGCAGATGGGAAAGTGGAGATCAAATCTTTGTCGGTTCAGTAATATTAAAAAAAGTTCTGTTTCTCAGTTAATGGAATAATTGCCACTTAAAAGCAATTCTGAAGGAGATTAAGTCTGCAGATTTTTTTGTAAAAAAAAATGTTACAAATTTTATTTCATGTTCAACATTGGCATTAATTTATGACCATTTTCAAGATGATTCTGGTAGTGTGATTAAGATGTGAGCCTAAAAACTTAATTTTTTTAAATTTCAAAACAGAGGGCGTTTTTATTATGACTTGCGTGGGATGCTGTTTTAGTGAATTTAATAAGCCAGGTGATTTCATCATAATGGAATCCCATTTCCATTTGTCATAATTCTGTACTGTTATTGTGGAACTGCAGATATTAGAAAACAAGCAAGAAAGACCAAAGGAAAAAATTTTCTATATGTGTTCGTGGAACTATTCATAGTGGGATGAAGATCTTTGGCATATCCTTGAGTTTGGGTTTAATGTGCGTAGCTAATTTGAAAGAAAAGTCATAAAGTTTACCAGTGTATTAAGCAAAAATTACTGTAGCCCAAATGGCTTCGGCACTAAAATTTCAGGACGAAATCCCACATTCTTGAGCAAGAGACAGTTGGTTAATGTCTAATTGGTGATAAAGATTTCCAGCCCTGTTCATCCACTGATGTAACAAAGTAATTTACACAAATACACCGTTGAGTACATTATGGAAGAACTTGAATCAATTTCACCTGAATTCGGAGGCTGGGAAATTAACGATATTGACAAGACTTCCACACTTAGG